TCCTGACATTTTGAATTTATATTATCCACCTATGATTTTTATTTCTACCTCTAAATTAATACATATATTATTTGGTTTTAATAATACTATAATTAGTGTTACTGATATTTTAAATTACATAGTTGTTCACTTGATATAAAATAAGTAAATCCACAAAACTTATATTTTCTATTTATACAATTACTATTGAGCAGTATTAAAGCAACTTGAGTTATGTGATTGTACCAAATGAAACAATAGAATATTGCATTAATTGTTTCTGCTTGAAGAAGATAAAGTTAAAATTTACATTTGGGGGAAAAGATTTGCTGTAATAAAAGGTTAGAAAAATATTTTTCTTCCTGTGATTGGTATAATAATTCCAGTTTTCTATTTGTAGGGAAAACACTTAAACAGTACTGACTTCAGTATGGACCGATATGAAGATGTATCTGATTGTGAAGTGGATCACTCTTTCTTTGATAGTGATTTTGAAGAAGAGATGAAGAAAGACAGAGCAACAACACAAATAAATAAAATAGAAAGTTCTGGGCCTGCACAAATAAAAGATTCAGTTACAGATGATTGTCATCTGAAACAGGAAGCCAAAGCAATGGAGAATAACTGTATTGAGGAAGAAAAGCAAGCTAAGCAGGCAGAATCTCAAAAGGAACACATGTTAGGAAATGGTGCTCATAATTCAAATAATGCTCTTTCTTTGTTAGCTTCTTTAAATCTGGAGGATCCAGTTGATAGAATCACAGCACAAAATGAACAAACTCTTCATGAAAACATTCCTGTGCAAATTCCCCTAAGAGAGAAAGAATGTGAAGAAAATTACTACACAGATGAAGAAGACAGTAGTGATGATAGCAGAAATCAGAGAGTTAGACATAAGTTCTCTAAACAGCCTAATGGTACGAAAGTTAATAGGAATGTTAGTTCCTCCTCATCCTCTTCCCCATCTTCTAGTTCTGATACAGATTATTCAGATACAGGATCTGATGGTTGCCTGTCAGACTCATCATGTTCTTCAGAAAAGAAAAACATAAAATCACCACTTCCTTCATCAGGACAACAGTCAAGACAAGGAATAAAGTCAGTGGAAGAAAAATCAAAATTGGATGACCACACAGAAGAGTCTGAAGATACAGTTACTGATGTAACTCCTCTTTCAACCCCAGATATTAGTCCCATCCAATCTTTTGAAGTGGCAGCATCCAATGATAATAAATTAAAGGTTAAAAGACAACAAAATGTGAGCCAGGAGTTATGTGGTAAGTTTACAGAACTTATTAAAGCATATACATGGCAGCAACACTAGACTTAATATACCTGTTTATACTTTTTTTTTCATTAGAACCTGAGGTAGATCACAAATGTCTTCAAAAGGTACTACATGAAGCTATGGACTTGAATAACCTTTTGAAAGGTATTTTTCTTTTAATTCTTCAATATCATTTTTTCTCCTTATTCTTTCATTGTAATTGCATTCCAATATAGTATCTCGGATGATGGATGGATGGATTGCTTTGAATATGAAAAATATGTTCATTCTTTACACTTACTTTATATTTCTAGACATAGTAATGTGAGTAAAAATTTATGAATTGAAAAAAATCAAGCACAACATGGTAATTTAAAGTTTTCTATAATAAGTTATGTATTTTTCAAATAAAGCTGGGCATGGTTAATCCCAGACACACACACACACACACACAACCACTCAGTTAAAATGGATATGCAAATGAAAATTGTATTTTTATGGCCATATCTTTTACTTCAAACACTTGGAGCCTGTCATGATACAGAATATATTGGGCTGCTGTAGTTTTTCTGTCTACTGTTGCATCTAAAGCTTTGGATGCACCGTGGACCATTAAATAATTTTTTATTTATAAACATGATACCTAGTTTGGGAAAAAGATATTTAAGCATAAGATCAGACAAGAAACAGAGCAGTTGATCTAATTCATAGTAAGGCTACATTACTATGAATCTTGCATGTCTGAATGTAACAAATCTGCAGTCTCTTCTACTGCCTGATAAGTTAGGGAGGTTCCTTTCTAAGTTTTTTTCTCTGTCTTAGGCAGGTGTGGACTAAGCTTCCTCTTATCTACCTATGCTCCCCGCCCCCCCTTTCCAGGTCATTTCCACATTACCATTACAACTTCAGCAATATCTCATCTGGTACTATTTTATTTTTAAATAGGGAAAAAGGAGAAATAAAGGCTGGGAGAGCATATA